ACACACCTGGGCCTATTGTGGGGAGTGGGGAGGGAGGAGGGATGGCATTGGGAGTTACACCTGATGTAAATGACAAGTTGATGGGTACTGATGAGTTGATGGGTGCACTACACCAACATGGCACATGTATACATATGTAACAAACCTGCACGTTGTGCACATGTACCCTAGAACTTAAAGTATAATAATAAAAAAATAATAATTAAAAAAAAAGGAATAGAAACCTGTTCAGATCAGAGCATCAGAGCTAGTCGGTTGCAGGAGTCATGAAGCATGATATGCTGTTAGGAGGAGCTCCAGAGAGCAGAGCCCTGTATGAACCATAAGCAAGAACTGTTTGATCCTCACCCAGATTTCCAAGCTCAGCAAGAGAAAAGGAAGGAAAGTAGAGGGAAAAAAATGTCTTTTCTGTGTTGCTACTCATTATTAGGAATGATTTGGAAATGCCAGTTCATAATATTATCCTAGAATTGAGCTTCTGCTTCTAATAGTTTCAGTGATCTTGTTATACCTATGGTGTTAAAATATGTACATTTATGTAGTCCTGAAGTACTCAAGGTCTCTGGCCTTTTAATACACAAATAACAATAGCTAAGTCCCTATCCTCTATCCTCTAGGGCTGCAGAAAATCTCTTTTATCAGGCTCGCCTCCTCAAGTATCTCCAGTGGTCACTGAGAAAAGCTCCCTGGTTCCATAAACCCTCTCTGTTTGTCACATGTCATCTCAGCTCAAGCCCTTGCCCCCCAGAATAGTGAGGTGCCATGCTCCTGCTTTCACCTCTTGTCATCTTGTAACTCCAGGAATACCATCTCCCTCGACATGCAGTGCCTTAAATATGCATATAGCTGTGTTCCTTAGCTTCCCAAACGTGGCTAATCTGAATCTAATCTGGGTGTGTAATAAATGCCCTTGGAACAAAGACATACAACAGAGAGTAGCTGACAAAAGTCATTATATCTCCATGCCCAGAATCTAGGCTCAATTTCCACCAGACCCAAAGATCTCCCCCATTTTCAGTCCAAAGCCCACCTCATTTCTCTGTCTCTGTAGAGCATCTACTGTCTTTCATTCTCTTACAGGGCACAGTGAGGCCCTATTTTGTAACAAAAATGGCCTATTCTGTACTAAATAAAACCATGTGGCACAAGAAACAGTCCACATCCTCTCCAGTCTGTTATCTGGTGTGCAGTAAAGAGACAATAAGGCCTGTGCATCACACCTGCCATAACCTTGCCTCCTGTGCTCAGTGTGCAAATGCTTGAGCAAAACCCATATGCATTTCATACACATAGAATGCTCAGAATACCACAGCTCAAATCCATGTGTAGAAAAAAAAGGTCCTAAATCTGCAGGTCACACTCCAGATAACAGATCCAAATAGAATACTTAGCAGGTTTCCCCAAGGACAAGTGGATTCTTACATCTGCCTGACCAAAGAGATCACTTACAAGACTCTCTCAGAAAAAAAGGGTCTCAAAACAAGAGAAGGATCTTAATACACTCCAGTATCCTCACCTGAGTGCAGAGGCTGTTTACAGGCCTCTAGCTGGCACTTTTCCTGCTCCATTCATGCAAAGATCGACCCGTCACTTGAAAACCTATTAATTACCCCTCTATGATACCTTCATTGTATCTATTCCTGATTCTGGTTCTAATATCCTCAAAGGTAGCAAAAAGTCTTATGCACAAAACTTAAACATCTGAAAATGTCCAAACCAGCTGCTAATCTAAATAACTATTGTCATTGCATTGTAGTGATATCACAGTGCCTGTGATACCTTGTCATTTATGTTTTTTTCAATAGCAACTTGATCATTTTAGCTCGAGGTTGTGTCTCCATAAATAGTTGGGTTGAATATGAGAATAAGTAATTTTTTTAACTTTCATAAGAGGCAGGAACTGAATAAAGAATCAATCCCTAAAGAGAGTCACTCCAGTTATCCTGAAGACTCAAATAACTACGTGAGTTTAGTTGACATACGTCAGCCTTCTAAAACTTGGACACTCCTGGGTTACTGGTAAAATGGATCCTATGAAGCTGAAGACCAGTCTCCATATTTATGATGAGCTCCCAAAGTGTGGCCATGGCATGAGGACCTTCCTGGGCCATCACCATCCAGCTTCTCTTTGGCAACGCTTTAGCTATAGCAGCACACAGGTGCCAGATAAGGGGTACTTTTTGCTAAATAACAAGGACCTTGTTATCAAATTTAGCTTGAATGAATAGTACTCTCACCTGTAGAAACCCTAAGATTTATTTTCAGCTCTTGATCACTTGCTGCTGCTATTTTTGGCTATCATATTTTGTTACTAAGTGCCAATCTCTGTGATAAGCTATTTTTGTATATTATCTCTAAGCTTTAAGAAAATCCTGTGAGGTGGCCATTATTTTCATATTTTAAAGATAATAACAGGAAAGTTCAGCGAGATGAAATGCCTTGTCTACAGCCACCCAGAGGTGGCAAAACTGGGATCCAAATGCATATGTCTAACTCAGACACTCTCTTTCTTACTTACATTCTGATCATTTCTTGACAGTTTATCAGAGTATAAATATTAGTAGCCATCTGTATAAATTGGAATCCAATAAAGAGAGATATCACATAGTAATATGAGCAGAGAAAGTATAATATAATATAATATAATTCACCATAACAGAGAGTTGGAGTAAAGAATTATCTAGTAAAAAGTGAAGGAGAGTTCTGATAACTCAATGATAAGAAGGCAAACAATTCATTTTTTTAAAAAATAGACAAAGGACTTGAACAGATATTTCACCAAAGAAGATATATGAATGACTAATAAGTGCATGAAAAGATGCTCAACACCATCAGTGCCCTGTCTGAAGACAGCAGTTGCTACTTCACTCCAGTCAACTGCAAGGAGGAAATACAGGTATAGAATTGCCAGATCACCTAGTTGTCCCCCCACCAAAAGCTAGAAATTCAGATTTTTATCTAAGATTTTCCTTTTTCCCATGTTGAAAACAAATTCAAAATATTTCTTAAAACATCACATAGTTGAAACAAAGCATATCAACAGGACTGATATGACTTGTTCGTGACTTCCTTCATAGGTTTTCTATCTGGGGAGGGACATGGGAGAAGCAGTGTTTCGGGAAGATATTTCTGGCAGCAGTATGCACAGTCTAGACTGAAGAGGAGAGGGTGAATCCAAGAAAAACTAGAAACAAGTCCAGGGATGGAAAGGAACAGACCTGACTAGGGTGGTGGCACTGGCACAAAGGAGAGCATGCCATGTTCATCCTTCCCTCCACAAAGCAGCTGGAGGAGACCCAACCAGAGATGGGATCTCTGTAGCATCATTTTCCAGAGGAACCTGGCACACACCAAGTGCTGCCTCCATTTCAAAGTCCATTCATCTACCGACATTCACCTACCCTCTCGGCCTTGATCCCACTCTCCTGAGGTGCCTGAGGGATCTTGCCACTGTCCACATGGCACTAAGGAACTCTGCCTGCCAGTCCCAGAACTGCCCTTGTCTCACTCTGTTACCTTAGGCAAATGGAAGGCATGGGGAGCCTGTTGCTCCATCTGGGAAATCCTCTGGACCACCCAACCTTCCTCTCAAAGAAAGTAAAGGGAGCAATAAGGAAATATTTGCCAAGCCCTCTACAACCACCTGTTTGCAGAGAGAGGGAGAGTTGCCATATTAATTATTAAGCAGACCGATCTAAGCCAAAGAGAGTCATGGAAACTTCATTATCATGCGTGGTATGTGGCTGTCTTTGGAATATTCTGCTTGCTTGGTTTCTAATTTCCTTTTCTTACGTGAGTCTTTCTCCCTCATAAATCTTTGCATCTCAGTGTTCTGTTCTCTCCTCCTTTGTGTTCTGAACTAGGAGTTCCCACAAGCCCTCTGTGGTTAAATCTACTCCTCCAAACACCACAGGCTCCAGGCAGCATCGTGCAGGGTTATTGCTCAAGAAGGTGGGTGACACCCTTTGGCCTCCACCCTCTGGAAGGGCCTGCTGAGTGAAGGCCCAGTCAGGGAGGGGAGGGGTGGAGGGGTATTGAGGAGAGTGAGGTAGGCAGGGAGTCCCCCCACCTCTCCCAGCTGCCCAAGGAAACACTCTCCAACTGTTTCTCTAGAACAAACCAACCAACAAGCGCCAGGAGCTTTCTGTGAATCTGACAGCCGGCTGATCACAGAATCCTCCCAGCAGTGGCACTTAGCCCAGAACTGGCAGCAAGTGCCCTCTAGAGGGAGTCAGAGGCACCTTCTCTGAGAGGCAAATTCTAATGTTCTGCCTGAATTGGGTATTTAGAGGGGCTTAGCAAATGATACCAATGGGGTGGGGGGGAAAAGGAAAGAAGAGAAAAGTGGGGCAACTGCTGTCTTCATCACTAAAAGACAGAGAGAAGGCTTCCTTTGGTATCAAGAGGAGTCTAACAGACTGTGCGATTCAAATTAGGCTACATTTCTGTGGCAGAAGCGGTGCGCACGGCAGAACCAGCAGTGGGGCGTGAGCTCCACGGGCTCACTCTGGGAATCTGCCTCTAGCACACAAGGTGCCAGGCCTTAATTTGGTCTTCCTGTTGCTCCTGCTTCTGAAATGTGTTGAAGCAGATACAGCTGTTTAAACTGGCATCCCTGTTTATCTTTGTGTTCCCAGTGTCTAGTATTTAAGTACCTGAACTGAATTTAAATTGCCATCAGCTTGTTAACTGCAAAATAATAGAACAATTTCAGGAAGATGGTGGTTGGGGCCGTATTTCGACCACTCCGCTTTCTCATACAGACACCTTGCTCCCCAGGCCTTCTGCCAGATATCAAAAGAAGAGGGTATGTGCTAGGCCTGGTTTTTTAATGCCCTGAGGATGAACACAGTATAGTGAGAAAATCCTGGCTTTTGGAATCAGACCCGACTGGATTTCCGTATGAGCCCCTCACTTACTAGCTGTGAGACTGGAGACGTTTTTAAAACTTTCTACACATCAGTTTGCCCATCTTTAAAATGAAAATATTAGTACTTATCTCAGAATCTATATACTTTATTTAACATAATATAAACGATTTAAATCACACATACATTTTTAATACATGGAAAATGCATGATATATTAAGGAAAAAATAAGGTGGTTATGGAACATTGTTATAGACTGAAATCACACCATTGTGTGGCTGCCTCAAGTTTTCTGTGGTGTTTGGGTCCACTGCTACCACACACACATCGCACCATGTTGGAAATACATGGATCCACCTAGTACATGGGTCCCTATTCACTCCTGCTGGTTTTCGTCGAGACCACTGCCTCCTGATCTCTACTGCTCTCCAGGGAGGAATCTCTGTGTCTTTTGCCATCACCACTTGCGTCCTTTTTTCTTCATAAAAGCATCCTTTGGGGGTTGGCATTCCAGGCCAGAGAGTAAGGAATACCGGTGAGCTGATGAGAAGAGCTTTACACTTTACAGTTTCAGGTTTTCTACGCATATGACCCAAAGGGAATTAATCTCACCTAAGAAGCAAAAGACTCCATACTGTCACCAATTAATATTTAACCAATAATTATCTCTTCTATAAAATGATAGAAAAAATGCATTGAAATGGGCCTCCTGATGCCCTGTTGTACTCTGTTGACAGTAAAAACTGATTCAACCCTTTGGAAAATTATCCATCAAGAGCACTGAAAATGGCATACCTGGGTGGGCACAGTTACTCATGCCTGTAATCCCAACACTTTGGGAGGCTGAGGCAGGAGAATGGCTTGAGCCCAGGAGTTTGAGACCAGTCTGGGCAACATAGCAAGACTCTGCCTCTACAAAAAAAAAAAAAGAAAGAAAAACAGCCAGGCATGATGGCATGTGCCTGTAGTACCAGCTACTTGGGAGGCTTAGGTGGGAGGATTGCTTAAGCCCAGGAATATGAGGCTGCAGTGAGCTATGATCACGTTACTGCACCCCAGCCTGGGTGTCAGAGTGAGACCCTGTCTCAACAACAACAAAAATCTTACTCTGTAAACCAGTAATTCTACACCTGGGAATCTATCCTAAGAAAATAATTTAGAACACATGAAAACCTTTATTGCACAAAGATATTTATTGTAGCATTACTTAAACTAGTGAAAAACTAGAAAAAAATACTAGAAAAAGTATTAATTGTTCAAGGGATAAATACATTATGATACACCCAAAGGTTAAAACAGTTACTTACAATTATGGCAAGTGGTCTCCAAACATTGTGAGTGATGTTTTTCTTTCTACTTGAATATTCACCTCATTCTAAAAGAATAATAATTTTGAATTTGGAAAAAATAAACTTTATTATTTCAAAAAGAGTTTGGGTTAGGTAATCTCTAAAATCACCTGTCACAGGTTGGGTTCTTTGGAGGCAGATATTGAGTCGAAGTTTGGCTGTAAGATGTTTATTCAGGATCAACACCTGTGAAAGGAAGACGCAGAGAGTGGATTAAGCAGTGGAAGAAGTTAAACTGCAGTACAGACTCAAGAAAGCTTTAGAACAAACACTACCAACAAGGGTGTTCTACATTGGGTCAAAATGGCCTGGTTTTTATATTCTCACCTCACTTAGACACCAAATGCACCCAAAGGTCATGACCTGAGGTGAGGGGCTTTCTGTAATGAGACCAAATCTGAGAAAGCTACAGCTAGAGGATATCTGCACATTATACTCCTGACAGCTGTAAGTCTTTCCTGGAAAGGAGAAGGAGATCTGAGTGGGGCCTTTCCATGTCTGTTACCTCCCTCCTAGGTCTGTATTCTTGTGCTCCAATTTCATATGCTTATTTGTTGAACAAACACATTAGCAATAATAATACAATCTTATGTAGCACTTTTATAATGCTTTCACGTATGGCATGCCTCCCTAATTCACAGTACTGAACCAAGGAGTCTGAAGGATATTTTTTTTAAAGTACTGTACAGATTTTTAATGACATTTGCTTTCACCACATTTCAGTAAGACCGTTTCATCAGAGTAGTTAAAATTGTGAAATAGGTAACATTTGTGCTGCTTCTTCTCAACACATCACTCTCCTGCTCCTATAACTCTTCTCCTTTTCCCTGTCAGACAGTTATAGCTCTAATATTGGTAAAAGTCTCTTTGCTCATTGTAGCATCCTACCCCAAATGCTCCTTCAGGTAGCTCACTCTCTTTTCTAAACTAAACTTCAACTGGCTGAAATTGGAAAATGACCAATACATTTATGCATACATGTTCTATGACTAATGACAGTGTGCTATCCTTTTAAACATTTCCTTTTTGCTTTTCAAAAGTAATTCCTGGATATAATACCAAAAGCACAGGCAACAGAAGAAAAAGAGTTGGACTTCAAAATTAAAAACTTGTGTCTCAAAGGACACTACTTTAACAGAGTGAAAAGGCAACTCACAGAACGGCAGAAATATTTGCAAATCATATATTAAATATTTGATAAGAGATTGATACCTGGACTATATAAAGAGCTCCTGCAACTCAAAAACAAAACAGACAATCCAATGCAACACTGGGCAAGGGACTTAAACAGACATTTCTCCAAAAAACAGATATACAAATGGCCAAAAATCACATGAAAAGATTCTCAGCATCACCAATCATTAGGAAAATTGCAAATCAAAGCCAATGAGATACCACATCATACCCATTAGGATCGCTGTTATTTAAGAAAAACAAAAACAGAAAATAACAAGTGTTGTCAAGGCTGTGGAATAATTGGAACCCTCGTGTATTGCTGGTGGGAATGTGAAATGGTGTAGCCACTATGGAAAACATTATGGTTGCTCCTTAAAGAGTTAAACATAGAATTACCACATGATCCAGCAATCCCACTTCTGGGTATGTACCCAAAAGAATGGAAAGTAAGAACGCAAACAGACATTTGTACACTCACGTTCACAACAACATTACTTACAATAGCCAACAGATAGGAAAAAATCCCAAATGTCCATCAACAAAATGTGATATGTACATACAGTAGAATATTGTTCTGCCTTAAAAGGGAAATACATTCCGATACATGCTACAGCATGGATGAAACCTGAAGACATTCTGCTACATGAAGTAATCCAAACACAAAAGGACAAATATTGTATGATTGCACTTATATGAGATACCTAGAGTAGTCAAACTCATAAAGACAGAACACAGAAAGGTGGTTGCCAGGGTCTGGGGGAGGAAGGAGTCAGTGGTTCTTGTTTGATATGATGGAAATTTCTGGAGATGGATGGTAGTGCTAGTTGCACAATATGGTGGAAGTATTTAACATCACTAAACTTTACTCTCAAAAGTGGTTAAAATAGTAAATTTCATGTCATGTATATTTTACAATTTCTTAAAAAAAAAAAAAAAAGTGATTCCCACTGACTGGCAAGGCTGTAAGGCCATTGGGGTATAAGCTCTTTGAAAGCATGGGCTACATGGCATAGTACCCAGAATTTGAAATCAGACAGTCATGAGTCCTAGTCCTCTCTCTAATACATATATTAGCAATGAGAATTTGAGTAACATACGCTAACTTCCCAAGCCATAATTTCCTTATCTCTAAAGTGGAGTTTATTATAACTACTGTAATGGTCTCTGTCTATCCAGTATCTATTTTCCTTTCACATAATAGGATGCCAAATTACCCTAGAGAACTACTCTTCCTTCACTCTTAGCCCATAAGGTTTAATTGGCTGAGTCCACTCTCTAGAAAGTAAAGAGGGCGGCCGGGCGTGGTGGCTCACGCCTGTAATCCCAGCACTTTGGGAGGCCAAGGCAGGTGGATCATGAGGTCAGAAGTTCGAGAGCAGCCTGACCAACATGGTAAAACCCTGTCTCTACTAAAAATACAAAAATTAGCCAGGCGTGGTGGTGCGCACCTATAAGCCCAGCCACTCAGGAGGCTGTGGCCGAAGAATCACTTGAACCCGGGAGGCAGAGGTTGCAGTGAGCCGAGATCGCGCCACTGCACTCCAGCCTGGTGAGAGAGCGCGAGTCCGTCTCAAAAAATCTATAAATAAATTTAAAAAATAAAATAAAGAGAGCATATGATCCAGGTCTAGTCAATTAGTATATTTCCTCCCTTTGGGCACAGCCCAAAGGTTCAGGAATGGGCTTGAGATCTGAGGAAGTTCAACAGAGGTAATCCCAAAACTTTTGCTGGAGCAGCTAGAAAGAATCTTTCTCTTTTGACAAGGGCTGCCAACAAGATGGAAGGTAATTGTGGAGGTCCTGGCAGCCACTAATGACTATGAAGGGAAAGCCTACCAAAGAATAAAGAAGACACAGGAAAAACAGAGCCAAGAGATGGAGAGAGAGATAGCATCAAGACAGGATCATCCAGTCCTGGGATCCAGCAGCACCTGAAGTCTACATCTGCATATTTTGGATACATGAGCCAATACATTTGATTTTCTTTTGTTTTATGTCATTAAGTTGTCTTTTTATCTCTTGCAACCAGAAAAATCCTGACTAACACACTTTTGTTACTGGAGGAAGTAAATGTAATAATTATACAGCAGCCTGGCACATTGTACTTTGTCCTATTCACCTCTGAATCCCACCCAGAACATGGTAAGTGCCCAACAAATTTTGTTAGACGGATAGAGTCATGAGAACACAAAATTGGGAATTCTGTGTCTGACCCACATTGTGCAAACTCAGAGTATGAGTATAAACCTAGCAAAGGATTGTGCTTCCCTGGGTAGTGAGTTCCCTCTTTCATGAAGCTGGAACTGGTATGCTGTGCTGGCAGACTAACACTCTACCAGTATAGGGTCATCACTTCAGAATAATTACACTGAACACTTATTTAGTGCTTACTATGAGCAAAGCACTGATGAAAAGAACGGTGAACACAAGCAGACAAATGCAATCAAACACATAAGGTTTTTTAGAGATGATCACCTGCCATGGTTTGAATGTATCTCTCAAAGTTCACGTGTTGCAAACTTAATCCCCAGTTGACCTATGTTGAGAGGTGAGATCTTTAAGAGGTGATTAAGTCATGAGTGCTTTGCTCTGACAGATTAATGCCATTAGGAGTAGGTTCCTGATATAAAGGAACCTTCCCCTCCTGCTCTCTCTTGTGTGCTTTCTTGCCCTTCAGTCTTCCACCAGGGGACGATGCAGCACTAAGGCTCCTCCCAGATGCCACTGTCTTGATACTGGACTTCCCAGCCTACACAACTGTGATAAATAAATTCCTCGTCTTTATAAATTAACCAGTATGTGGCATTCTATAATACCAACCTAAAAGAAACCAAGACAGCACTTAAGGATTGGAGTGTAGTAAATGGAAGTCTGTCACTCTGCTTATGGAACCAGGGAAGGCATTTCTCAGGGAAGGTGGCCTCGAAAATGAGCTAGGTCTCAAAAATGAATATGCACATACACTAACATTTCCTAGGAAAAGAATACCTATGAGCAGATATAGCCTGTCCTGTTTTGGGATTGCAGGAGAGTGGGCCCATTTAGCACTCCTATATAAATTAGCCTCTGGAAGGGACTTGAGAAATTAGGCATTAGTTTATTTTAGTTTGTTTTTTCCACCAATTCTACCCACTTCCTCCTTTGGGGGAAAAAAATCTTCCCCTATGGCAAACAATATAATGTTAGTTAAAAAATCATCACATCAAAGTATGACGCTTGTAATTATTTGAAAAACAGTTTAATAAACTAAGTTCTGCAGCTGGAGGAGGGATATGGATTGATTTCCAGGTAATTTAAGGGATCCTGAGCACATAATTATAACACAGCTGTTTCTAGGACTCAGGGAGAACTAGTCTTTCCAAGGCAAATGTCCCATTGGTTTATCCTGCCAAAAGTTCTGGGCTTCTCGATGAAGCAGTGACTGTGGGGTTAGATGAGTAACAGTGGATTAGATCCTTAAAATCACCACATCTCACCTTGAATGAGCCATAGCTGCAGAAAGAGTATTTCATTAAGGAAAAAGCCATATTTCCTACCCAAGAGGTAAAGTGATTTCATGGATTTAAAATCACAAGGTACTAAAATAACATTATCTGACAGAAAGGTAGAGAGGGCTCCTGAACTTAGAAATACTTGGACTGAGAGTCTGAGTGTCTTGATGTAATAATGATCTAGGCTGCCATTTTCTCTTATTAGTCTAGTTACTAGCAAACTATGGATCCCTCAAAAATCAATTCAGTACCATACGACCTGACAATTCTACTCCTAGGTATATACCCAAGAGAACTGAAAACTTGCTCATGAAAGACTTGTACACGGATGTTCATAGCAGCATTATTCACAATAGCCTTTATTCACATAGCATTACAGAATGCTATGTGAATAGCATAGAATAATGTGCTATAGCATTATTCACATAGCACATTATTCACAATGCCTATCAACAGATAAGTGGATAAATAAAATGTATATTATAATGTGGAATATTATTCAGTCATAAAAATGAAGTACCAATTCATGCTACAATGCAAAGCTTAAAAACATTACACATTATGCTAAGTGAAAGAAGTCAGACACAAAATGCCACATATTGGATGATTCCATTTATATGAAATGCCTAGAATTAGGGAATCCCTAGTGACAGAAAGTAGGTTACTGGTTGCTAGGGGTTCAGGGAAGGGAAGAATGAAGAGTGACTGCAAATGGGCTTGGGGTAATAAATGTGTTCTGGAATTAGATAGTGGTAATGATTGCGTGATTTTGTGAACATACTAAAAATCAGTGAATTGTAATCTTCAAAAGGGTGAATTTTATGGTACCTTTTAAATTTTAGCTCATTTAAAGTACAAAACCATTCAGACATATCCAACTTCATGAAGACGTCCATGAGCCTCATGGTTAGAACTAATTCTTCCCTCCTGTGCACAACCTTTAGATCACACTTTTATTGTGGACACATGCAATTTTTCAATATATGCCGGCCTCCTCTGATAATAGTAAGCTCTTCAGAAGCAGGATTATGTCTTGTCTATGTCTGTATCCTCAACAGGACACAGTGCTTGAAATTCAGCACATATTCAATAAATATACGTTGAATTGAAGAGATTATTTTCCAAGACTTTTACAATCAGTAATATTGAACAATCCATTTATAAATATAATAAATAGTACACATAAACTGTGTGTAAGTCTTTTGTGATATAAAAATGAAAGAGGCATAGTCTCTACCTTTGAGGAACTTATACATTTTTTATAAAAATAAGTAGACTTAAATAACTACAAAACAAGGAAGAAAATAAGTGCTATGTGAACGGCATAATGATCCACACCTAATAGTTCAAAGAAGTAAAAATTACTACCTGAGCATGATGGGGAAGATTTTTTAAAA